AGAACCCGATGGAAGGGGGAGAGAGAGAGGGGGGGGGAAAAAGAGAGTTAGAAGAAGGAGGGGACACCTTTGAGGAAGGCGAGCTCAAGTCGCGCGGATTTCTCTCCTTGGCAATCAGGCTCGTATTCCGCGTCTCCCTGAATGTGGCTATCTCGAGCAACGAGCTAGTCTCCTTTCCTTCCCCACCTCCAGCAACCACCATTACGCCATTATCTGTCTCTCGGTCGTTATATCGCCGGTAAAAGAGCCGACGTCACATTTTAACATATGATCAAAGAGTTACCGATCTTAGGAGTTTTAAGTAAGCTCTTGCATTCAGAAACGATCGGCACGTTACCTTCTTGTACTCTTCCAGGACTTTAAACGTGCGAGGAATATTACAAACGATACGAGCACGCTTCTCTAATGGTTCGATTACTCTCGCACGATGTTGCATCTTTTAACGGGAAACACTCTCCGTAGTGATTTTCAAATCACTTTGACGTTACACGGGTGAACTATGTTACCGAGGTAGGTTCGTCGCGTGCAGCAAATCGTACGCGATTCCCCAACGTTACAATGTATAGGCTTGGTGGTTGTCTTGCGACGTGACAGGATGTGCTTTGTTCAAGTATCGAAGCGTTAATAACAGGTATTTTCTCTTTTGGTGTCTTATTACGATCGGTTGATTTCGATCGCTACATCGAAAATGCTCTGTGATACTTGCTCGAATTCGTCAGAAGCGGCAGAAAGAGAGAAAGAGAGAGAGAGAGATAGATAGATAGATAGATAGATAGATAGATAGATAGATAGATAGATAGATAAATAGAGAGAGAGAGAGAGAGAGAGAGAGAGAGAGAGAGAGAGAGAGAGAGAGAGATAAAGACAGACAGACGGAAAGAAATGATGAAAATTTGTTCTTGCGTGTTTCAAGGTCATAAGCAAGGACGATAGCCCATGTATTCTTCGATCGAGCTTTTCGTCGACGAAGAAACGTTATCGTCGTCCGCGATCGATCCGCGTTTGGTTCGACGCGTCTTTACGGAGCATGCACACCATCTTTACCGAGAATCGTCTCGAGAGTACCTTTTTTTCACAGCGTTATATTATCATAATCCCCCCTTCTTTTTTATTTCCTTCGTTTAATTTAATTAACGGAGGGAGGATGAGCAAGCCCTTTGGCGTCTTCGAGCAACAGCTTTATCGGATCGGACGATGTTCGACTAAACGTATAGGTCCCCCGTATATTGGGAATGCGAGTCAACGCGTCCAAGCGGTAGCACGTTGCGGCATAAATAATTCATAACGAGGCATCGCGTCACGTGAACGTGAACATTGAGTGAGGGTTTAGGTTTGCTATTATAAATATTTAGAATACCTGATAAAATCCCCATCCCCCCTTTTTCCGTTAGTTCGTTCTTTTTTCTTAGATTTCATCCCTTTTTCTCTGGTGGCCTACTGTCGCCAAGCCGACATCGACCGGCACGGAACGTATGTACTTTACTTATGTACACTTAACTACTTGCCTATAGACTATCTTTTCCGTGGCATTTGAGAAAACATAACGAATAATAGAGAGTAGAAGAGGGAGTAGGGGCGGGAGTTCCTTAGCTTCCGTTTTCACATCGATCGATCGATGTCAAGTTCGTTAATTTCTTGTAGCTCTCTCTTATACGATCGATCATTATTCAAGTGAGTTTACGGATCTTGATTTTCATAGAGTCTTATATATAATCGAGCGGAAGAGAAAGAGAGATGACCGGTCGCATGCTCGTGACCGGTCGATTCCGAAAACGAATTGGTTCGGGTCGATGAAACGACGCTTCGTTGTCTCTTTCGAGTAGCGTGCGGCCATTCTCGCGAGCATCGGACATCCAGAGGACATCGAACTCGTGTCGACGTGTTTTGCGAAAAGAAGACTTGTATCGCTTAGGAGACGAAAGCGAACGGTCGCGTATGAACGACTTAGCTCTTTCCTTTCATGGAAAAACCGAGAACTCGAGGAGGATTATCGCGAAATGACCGGGATGGACGATCGTTTTCACGTTTACGCAATAGGAAAGCGTGTGCACCGGCACGCGTGAGCGCGTTTACGTAATCGAACAGAACCTCCGTGCGATTTTCTTTTATCGATCTTTCTAAATTCGTCGAGAAGCATTTGAACAGAAAACTGTCTTTCCTTCGCGAAAATAAGAAAAAGACCGAGAAAGATGGTTATATCAAAGAGAAAAGGACGAAGAAATGCTTGATCTCATTCGAGTCGGAGTCGACAGAGCGTGACGAGTCGAACGTGAACTCGCTCATTCCGTAACCTTAATAACCTTGACCTAGGTTCTCGCTCTCTCGTTCTCCTGGGGAGGGGGAGGGGGTCCATCAATCAGGGAGAAGACCAGCAGTACTACGATATCGATCGATTGCGCAACTGCCGCGACGAAACGACTATTTCTATTTTCATGCCGTACCACGATACACTATTCACTTGCTCGGTATCGACTATTTTTTATATTAGCCTTTAGGTATGTATATAATTATCGGAGAGAACATTGACGACGATCTTACCTTATAATTTATTTTGATTACTTACTATACGTAGCTCTTTGAGAGACCATATGACATAGCGTCTGTGTCTATCCATCGTGTGTGTATCTTTGAGGAGATCGTAGAGAAGGAGAGAGAGAGAAAGAGAGAGAGAGAGAGAGAGAGAGAGAGAGAGAGAGAGAGAGAGAGAGAGAGAGAGAGAGAGAGAGAGAGAGAGAGAGAGAGAGAGAGGATTTCGTTGGCCTGGAACTTGGCTGGCTTCGACTTGAGAAAGTAGGTCAAGTTCGTAGGAGTGCATCTTCCTTCGTCGAATACTACTTTCCACGTAAATCGTCGAGCGAGCTTCGAAATGACAGATGACAGTACTTTAGGGGTTTGACTTCGAATATTTTCGAGTTAACCCCTTTCGGTATGTTGCATTTTTCGAACGAGCGTTGAATCTACGAGTTGAGTATTAACTTCTTTTCTCTTACATTCTTCTTTCGTTACATTAAAGCATGGATTAGAAACGACAATAGCGAATATTCGAATCGAAGTTACAGAAAGGTTATTGTAAAGGACATAAATCGTTATTATGTAGAAAGGTAGACAATATAAACGTAGACGAAAGGAGAATGTCTCGGAAACGTTGGGGGAAACTAATTAGCGAGAAACTCATCTCCGCTGACACGTACGCTTTCCTCCGCAAATTATTACGTATTTTCTCGTTCGAGGGAGAAAGATTCCTGACCTGGAAAGAGACTCGCCTCGGAAGAACGAGTAAATTAACCGTAAGGTTTCCGATTCGTACGGTCCCAGAGTTGTCAGGCGATCGTTACACGTTTTACGTACGTATGTACATACATGGATGTATGCATGCATACATATATACATATGTACATACGTATGTATGTACATACGCTTTGTGTGACAAGTGGAAGTTCGCGAAGTATCGTCGTTATGCTTCGAGAGTCTCTAACGTCTTCGTCGTCTGATAAGTTCTTATCCTTTACAAAATATTCTCGTATGTCGAAGTTATCGTTCGCGGTACGCGTTTAATGCAACAACACGCACGAGATCGTAATAAATTTTGTAAACTGTGCGTGAGCGTTTTGCCCTACCGCTTGTTGCGATTACGTTATTTCGCGTTGCGTGTCCATTATCGTAAATTTACCTCTTTACAGTCTGAGACTGCATCGTATGGACGCTCTTTTCTTTTCGTATTTCTTTTTTTTTTTTTTTTCTTCTTTTATTTTTTTATTATTATTATTATTTTCTTTTTTCTTCGTTTTCTTCAAGCATTCTCGCAAGCATCAACATCTCGATAACATCGTCGTTTTCTTTGCCAAGTTGTTTGCACATTGATTATTACAGTTCGACGGTTTTCTCCTTCTTTTCTTCGATTTGTAATAATAAACTGAATTAAGAGAAATGCGATCGTTAGCAAATCAATATATATACGTAATCGGCTTTATGCCTTTATAAGATTACATAACAATAACAAATTAAATGCTGTCCGTGCTGTCTTAAAAATACAGACGCAGTCATTATCATTGAATTCATCGATACCGAGCCCTTCGACTTCGTTAATTTTCAAGTTTCTTAGCGATCAGAGCGAATTATATACTCTTTCGATCGCGTTGTATAACCTTCGATGAACGATAAAATCGATATACCGTGCGATTTTCTTTCGCGGCGAAGCGTTTCCGTGTCCGAGTACGATGTTACCTCATCGATGGATTATCTTTCCCTTTATCCTCCTTTAAATTAATTAACGCTGAATATAGCAACCCTTAATCTTGCTTCGGATTTTTTTTATCATTCATTATCTATTGATTTTATCTTCTTTTCTATTTTCTTTTTATTTTTATTTTTATTTTTTTGTTTTAGGTGTCAAATGGATTAATCAACGAAAACCAGATCCGATCATTCTCGTGACAGAAACTCTCAAATTGGCGAGGTCAACCATTTCGCGACGTAACGATGTAAAGAAAAAATGTAACTCGTCGTTTTGAAGAGAGAATAGCAAGAGGAAGACAACGAAGAGAAAGAAACAATAAAAGAAAGAAAGAAAGAAAGAAAGAGAAAAACAAAACAAAAAAGAGAAAAAAAGGTTCGTAAATGACATCGTTGGTGAGTCGATCAAGAAAGGAATCGATAGATCGGTGGTAAAATACTCTGTTACTTTTCAAAATCGGTAAAATCTTTCCTGGAGGAGAAACAAATTTTACGCTCGATTCTCACGGCAAAACGCGACGAAACGAGCGTAATTACAAGTGGATAATATAAACCTTTCGTGCGCCTTCCCTCTTTCTTTTTTTTTTTATTTATTTTGTTTCTTTTACCCTCCCTTCCACATTCTGTTTTTCGCGAAGCAAGCTCTCGTGGCGAAAAATGTTACGCTCGCAAGCGTATTTCAAAGGACCGATTTGTTAGATCATCGCAAAAGTATAAGATCGATAATACGTCGGAAAATATATTTGATATTTTGTCGAATTTTGCAAAATTTTTCCTTTACAGTTTCGTAGCTGTTTCGTTTTTGGTTTGGAGAAGGAAGGGAAGAAAGGGGGAGATAAGGAGAGAAAGAGAGAAAGAGAGAGAGGGGAGAATTATCGAGAGAAACTCGAGCCGTCTGGAGTATTCGTCCTTAGATTAAAGTCGAGCTCGTTCGATATTCGAACGTATTCTTGAAAGATTTGCTTTTGAGAGCAAAGAAAAAGAGAAAGATAAGAAGAAAAAGAAGAAAAAAATCCTAACCAAGATGTACAGCGATCCGAATATTTGTGGGATTGGAGCGTCGACGAAGGGAGACGAGGTCGAATTGGTGAGCAGGTTTCTGGCACCTCTTTGCGCGAGGGACGAGGCAGCGAGGAACATTGCTTTGGCGGCTGCCAGGAGTACAGTCGAGGGATGGCTCGGAGGTGTTGGGAGTCCAAATCAATGGGAGGAAACTACCGGTGCGATGAAGGACAACGTAGCTTCCGGAAAGTTCAAGGGTCAGGATGGAAGGTGAGTGAAATGTCTTGGCAAATAATATCTTTCGATATTTCGACAAAACTTAGAGAAAGTCATTACTAACGTACTAAGTCGTAATAGTGACAATTTTAAAGAGCGTTTTCGATTAATCTATTAATTAATATATATATATATATATATATATATATATATATATATATATATATATAAATTTTCTTCGAGCATAATTGAGCTCGTAATAAGAATGTATTCGTCTTCTGTGTCGAAAAGGTACGATATGAGCATCGAGCGTTCACCCTCAAAATCGACTCCGAAGAATGTAGAGGAACAAGCGGCATCTTCGGATACTTTTAGAAGCGACTGCTTTTTTCCGCAAAGTGTTACGGAAAATCCTGTCTTTCCGGAGGACGGTGGTTCCGAAAGTACGGAAAGATATCCCTCGGGTTCGTTCGATTGCGTAGACGGCCGTTTGGGTTCAAACGAAAGTTCGAGCTTCGGGACACCGGTCGAAAGAAGAAGATACATGGGCGGTGATTCTACGGACGGGAACAGATCGGGTCGTTCTACTTCTTCGGACGAGGGGAAAGGTTTAAGGATCGAACAATTGGCTGGCAAGTGTCGCAGGTTCAAGGACGGGAGTGAGAGCCGTTTCGGTTCTAGCTGTGACAGCGAGAGAAAGTATTTGATTTCGTCGTCGAACGAAAGGTTGAATGAGTTAAGCCAAGAGGATAGGATACCGAGAACAAAGAATTATATCAAGGTGAAGGGAGCGAAGCAAAGACAGCCAGAGGAGGACGAGTTGGATTTGGATACTAGGATCTACGGAAAGAGTCCAAAGTTCGACGAGAATCTTGGCAATGCTTTCTTCGATCGTAGAAACGTTAATTTCCGTTCTAAGAGCAGCGATCTTCTCGAGCGAAGGTATCGAGATGAAACGGATATCACAGGGAGATCACGCGAAAGAGTCGTTTTCAATACACTCGACGGATTTGATAACGAGAATGCAAACGAAATTTATCGGGAAAATGAGATTCTCATTGAAGATGCGAATCTTGAAAATTCAGAAGACGATCTCGAGGATGGTCGTGCTAGTTGGCGAAGGTACGAACAGGACCAGGATTGCCTTAGAAAGAACGATGAGAGAAAGTTCAGCGCTGGTCAAATAAAAAGACCTCTCTCGCAGGACGAAGACATTTCTTCAAAGAGTGGTAGAGTTCTCGATAGTCCCGAGGTTACTCCTGGTGATGTAGGAAGGATGCTTAATCTTGGAAATGCACTTGATGGCCCGAGGCAAACTCAAGCAAACAAGTATCTTAGCCTGGTGACGCTTCATCTGCCGGTAATACTTAGGCTCAGCGTTAATTGTCCTTTTCAAAACGTCAGGATAAAATGTGCTGAGATACTGGAAATGGTCAAGGTAAGTTTGTTTTTGCCTACATATTATCACTATGTACCTATATCTCTCCTTTAATAATCATCGATCGATCTTTACTCTAGTTTAATATTCTTTTCAATGTCCGATACTCTTTCGTCTTTAAAGCGAGAAAGCGTCAAAACGGGATATAGCGGGACGTTATATAAATGGAGCACAAGCTTTCCGTGGTTATTTGGGAACACTCACCGAACTTTGTTCTAAAAATATCTTCCTATTTTGTCGCCAAAACGGCCTACTGTTACAAACCGCGATCGTCGACGTTTTATTACCATCGTGAATTGCTCTTGAAAAATAAGAACGGAAATGTGAGAGTCGATAAAAGCTTGCGCGGAAAGTATACATATGTGTAGAAATGTGTAGAATATGGGAAGAAAAGCTTTGCACAACGTGGGCCTCGAACCCGCGACCCTGAGAATAACAGTCTCATACTCTACCGACCGAGCCAGCCAAACTTGCAAAAAGTCGATATAATCCTAAGATTTTCAATGATATGTCTTCGATATTTGAATTTCTGCAATTGATCGTAATTTTTTTTTTTTACAGGATAGAGGATTACCAGTACCAGAACCGGCCTTCGATGGACCTAGTGCCTTCGTTCCCACCTCCGAGGTAAGTCTTTTGTATAATACGCGAATGCATTTCTTTTTTTTTTTTCTTTTTTTTTTCTTTTTTTTTTCTTTTTTTTTTTTTTTGTTACTTCTTTTATCTTCTTTTTTTAACACCAGATTTGCGAGACGTACGATTGAATGACAGATATTTTTATTGGTTTAATTTTATGAAAAATAAAATTGATGATATTATATAAGTACGATTTTTATTAATAGTTCTTAATTTACGTTTAACTTTTTGCAACAGTCGAAAAACAATTGTTAAATTTTATGAAAAGAAAAACACGAGCAATGAAATTGATATTCGTTTGAAACAAATACAAATTGGCTATCTTTGTATAATACCGATAATCGTTACCCATCTATTGGTAGTTGTACGTGAAAAGGAACCAATGATTGGTTGCTGCGCGAACGAGGGAGTGCATAACTTCATATTTATTTGTCCCCTGGTAACCTTCAATTTAGTTTAATTAAGAGCAATTAAGGACTCTTGTCCGCGCGAGCTCCCATAACACTTTGAAGTTGCTAATTGTAGGAGTCTTTCCGATTGTACTTTGTATAATCATCCGATTGCATAGAAATTCATTTTTTTTTTCTTTTTTTTTTCCCCTTATAAATCTTTATTAATCATTATCGATTTTATTCATTTGAAATGTTATATATCTAATAGTATCAATAATAGTAGCATAGAAAACTTACGCATGTATTTCAATATTATTTAAAATAATGATAAACATACTTAATTATCTATAAATGTGATTAAAAAAAAAATATACATTATTTAAGAAAAATAATGTAAATATTTTTCTATAGCATCGTAAAAATTCAAAAATACTCGTTATTATGAATGAGTAATTCGAAATGAATAATTTTTGTAGGTATTTTAATTATTTATTGATATGATTAATTTGATGAAAAAGAGAAAAAAAAGAAAATTAGACGCATCATTGAATTTGTGTTCTAGAGTGCGCCATGTTCCCGCCATGACTCGAACCATAGACCACGTCGGTAATTCAGTTTTTTAGACTATAGAAAGTCGTTCAAGATGCGACGTTTGTTCATGTACCTCATGCGGACGATAAAACGTTAGTTTGTAGATCGTACAGATGGCGGTCTCTTGTAGTTACAATCGATTTGTATAGTCAACTATTATTGTTTTTTAAATTATTATTATAAATATTTATTATTACAATTGTTCGATAAAAAATACATTTCAATAGGAGACATTATTTTGTATATAAATACGTATAAAAAAAATATTAAAAATTTTTAAATAGAAAGGCAGATAGCAAAGAATCTTTTTAAACGAAAGGATATTTTTTTGAAAAAGATTACTTAACATTGAATATCTCGTATGTCGTAAATAAATTTCTACAGTCCTTCGTTATTCGATACGTTATTTATAAGATAAACAACGATCGACGTATCGTTTAGATTGGTTGGTAAAGGCAACGTATCGTTTTACAAAGATTAGTCAGTCTTGCGTGCAAGTTACGGGAAAAACAGGTTCTTTAAACCTTTTTTATTTTATTACTATTTCAGGAAGGTCATACTATTAATCGTTATCGCAAAGTTACATATCGTATAATAGACCGCATAATCTCATTTTACTGCTTGTTTGTAGAAAGAAGATACAGTTGCTTCCCACGTTTATTTACGAAGCAAATTTCCGGTAAAAGTTCTTTTAATATCATTTTTGTATCAGTTGGTAAAATAATAATAATAAAAAAAAAAAAAAAAAAAGAAAAACGAAAAGAAAAGAAATAAAGGAGATCCGATATATTAATAAAGTTATTGTATTTCATGTATATGCATATATCACGAGATACTCTTATGAAATTTGAATCTCGCAAATCTGGTTTATAGATTCGATCTTCGTATTTTTCAACGAGTTTTATAAGTTTCGACGAACTATAATGCTTATGAAGTGATATGGACTACGATTGAACGTGGAAAAACTTAATGAATTTTCTTAATCTCGTCAAAGTTTTTTGATGAAGTTGCTCCGTTATCTCATATATATAATTTTTTTTATTTATATCGTCGAATTGGTGATCACCAAAATATATTGGTTTTGTTACTAACATCGACGGAAAGAGTATCTACGAGATGGTTGATGAAGAAGGTAAGTAAATATGAAATATTATATACGTTAGATTACATAAAATATTATGAAATTAAATTAATACTATGTTTTTCAAGAGGATATTAAACTTGAAAAAATAGATTATAGTCGGGTATTCCCGGAATATGTTTGTAGAAATCATTTTTACAATATTTTCATTCTTTAAATAAGTTTTGCGATTTTCTTATCCAAAGTTATTTCGATTGTAAGATCAGCGAACAGTAAATCTTATAGGGCTACTGCTCGTATTTCACAAATCGACTTAAATTTCCAGTAGATATGTCGTATAAAACCGATGATGTTCGTCTCGCTTGGACGATCGAAGTTCGCGAGGTTTGCAAGAGAAATGGAAGAGAAAGAGAGTAGGAAGGAAAGAGGGACGTAAGTGAGAAATAGCGGAATCATAGCGCAAGTTAGCAGTGTAGAGAGAGAGAGAGAGAGAGAGAGAGAGAGAGAGAGAGAGAGAGAGAGAGAGAGAGAGAGAGAGAGAGAGAGAGAGAGAGAGAGGGAGAGGGAGAGAGGAGGGAGTGGGTTAAGAGAAGACTCGAAGAAGGGAGAGGAAAAGTTAAAGGGAATCGTGCTTGGGTCAATGCAAGTAACAGCTAGCTCCACCAGCCGCAAGTGGCTTTAAGTGGCTCGTATACAAGCTCCATTAAAGGTCTAATTGAATCTCTTTCTATCCGTGCTTCTTCTACCTCTCCTCCTTCTACTTCCCCCCTTCTCGTTCCTCATACTCCTCTCAATCTTTTTATTATATTTTTTTTCTTTCTACCAAACTCTCTTGATATTCCTGAATGTTTCGATCCTTGAAAATGTAACTTAGTTGTTTCTTTCTTTTTTTTTTCTATTTTATGATTCCTAGTCGTTATTTATGTATTTCAACTATGTATTCTAGATCACGTTGATCGCATCAACGCGATTGATTTTCAATGGATAGAAAGATTTTCAATGTATTCAACGATCATGATCTTTTTATACTCCAATGATTTCGTGCACGCGAACGAATAGAAAAGATGTTAAAGATTAGATGGGAAAGATAAAATAGAGGTGATTAGAGAATAGTGAACTTTTTTATGTAAATCCTTCACTATATTCTACGTGCACGTTTCTGTCATAAATGTTGTTAATGTGTTTATAGGTTTAAAAACAATTTTCATATTAATTTACTCATATAGCCATTATATAATTGATTCAAGAGTTTTTAATTATTTCCATTCGTCGTTCTTCGCTTAATCTCAAGTATTTAAGTCGTTATAATTTTATAGTGTTATTCATGCTTTTTTCCCTACTATTTATTATGAAGTACATTTTAAAAAAGAAAATGGGTTGGTCGAGGTTCATCGTAACCGAGTTTACATACGTGTGTTCTCGACAGTTACATGCTACGTTTTCATGTGCAGTGATTTCGCGGTAGTTAAATGAAATGAGTATGCGAGCCACGAAAATAAATTTTCCCTTTTTTTTTTATTTTTACTTTTATTTTTACAGATAAACATAAATTATATATAATATAATACTGATAATATGAGAAGAAAGAATAGATTCGAAAAATTGATAATTTAAATGAGAAGAATGGGGAGAGAAGAAAAATAGAAGAGAGAAGAGACTTTGATTTTTATTTTAGTTAGAAAACACTTAAGTACACTTTATCTTAAAGCTATGGAGTTTCCACATCATTGATTTAACTCTAGAACATGTTATAGATAATCCTTTGCTTGATTTATTACAATTTCATTTTTTACGTCGTGATTTATTTCGTGTCTGACTTCATTACAAATTATTATAGAACTTTGCTCGGTGACATATGTACATGATATATATATATATATATATATATATATATATATATATATATCGTTGTGCTTCAAAAAAATCCAACATGCAATTCAAATTAATATTTGTGGACTTTTACATTTCTTTGTGGTATTAAAAGTCATTTATAATTCGTGACCGGTTCTGTATGCTTCGTTATGTTAATAATAAAAACACGATACGAGTAAATATTTGAATTGCATTTCTTTACTAAATATATGAATTTGAAAGATCATATTTACTTTCCTTTTTTTTTCTTTCTTTGTTTTTTACGTATTATCATAAGAAAAAAGAGAAGTCTTATTTTCATTAATCTATCACAATAATAACCAGTAAGATTTATCTGAAAATTATATACGCTTTAACGTTTCTCTTATAACATTGTTCGTGATTAAAAGCTTTAAAACGATAGGGTAGGTGTTTTAAGTAGTTCGTGCTTTTTCCACCGTGCAAAATGGGCGACTAGGCAGCAATTGCACGGTTGTTGCTTGTTTCTGACGTGCTCCAGATGGTAATAATAACTCATCGAGCACACGTCGCGGTTTTCACGTTATCTGAAACTGGAAACATCAGTGTGCGAAATATAATCACGTGTTTTATGTAAGCTATATCTCCCTTTCTCCCTTTTTTTTACTTTTTCTCCTTCCCTTATCCTCTTTCCTCTCTTCCTTATCCTCTTTGCGTATATATGATAAACACATACACAAAACAAATCTTCTTTAGAATTCGTATTTGTTATCTTTATCGACAATCCTTCTTCCTCCTCCTCCCCCTCCCCCTCTTATAGATATATTCAGCTTATTTCTCGTATATTATACTTATCTTTCATATCGTAAATCATTCGTTATATTCTCGAAATTCGTCATAACAAGAGTTAGAAATTCATTTACATGTAACAGTTTATATAATTAAGCTTTTTCTTACGATCTTTAATATGTGTATTTTATGGAAAATAGGTGAAAAATAAATTATGACGAAGATATTCCTTTTAGGATCTTATCGGAACGTAAGCTTTTTCTCGTTCGGCGTAGTCAGCGTCTTTTCGATCGTACGTTTCACCCTCG